AATATTGGTAGGAGGTGAATACTTTTGCAGGGCACTGTATAAAATATGCAAATCTGATGGTTGTGTTAATTATAGAATAAAACAAAGATAAATGCCATTATTAAACAATGAAAAGCATAGTTGAATCAAATTTCTTTATTATTTTCTGTACAGAAAGTGGAGCACTTATCTTCAGTCACCAGTGAACAATTCTGTACATCCAAACTATGGACAGCAGGTTTCAGTAGAAGAACTATTTCGAGGTATAGCAGTTTTAGAGTCTTACATATGAAAAAAAGTATATTCTCATAGTGTCTGTTACATAGGAATGAGTTTAAAAAAAATTATTATTTCTTTTAATTCCTAGGTGCAATAATTGATTAAACTAAGACACTTGTTATTACAACAACTTTTTTTCAAATATTCAGTTTAATATCAAATATTAGTTGTATGTAAAATCAGTTATAAAATATAACACAAATTAGTTGAGCAGTGGTTACCAATTGAGCAAACTATGTTTGGCATTAAAAATAAGCCTTTTATTACTTATATACCTGGAGATAGTTAAAATTTTGATGTAAAGAAATAATTTTAGTAGTTTAATTGGTATTAGGTTTTTAATGAAAGATATTTTAGGAGTGATGTTATTGATTCTGTAAATAAGATTTTGTACTTATTACTACCAAATTTAATTAACATAAGTATTAATTACTTAATTAAAGAAACCCAATAAATGTTAAAAGGCAAATTTCATTAGTGTAAAAGTGAAATGTAAGGATATTTCTTGATAAACTTTTTAACACTTACCATACAGGTTTGGTTGATGTGACCGACCTTGTAATCTCAAAGTAACCATCAAATTTCCATACTATAACTTTTAATATGCTTTGTATAACTTCACAAAAGCTGATAAGCTTTCATTAAACACTACAGGTCTATTTTATAAAAAAAATCAAGATTTTTTAATTATGTATTTTTACTAAAGATTAGTCCATGAATAGTTGGGGTCAGTGTGTTGACTGCTCCAAGTGCAAAGGGATTTTCATGTTAATATTAAAAATACTTTTCTTTATCTGAAAATTTTCAAACTTCATTTACATAACCTCTAAAACCTTCTAAATAAATATCAAATTTCTTTTTTTTTTCATTAAAACTACATATTTTATCTGTTAGTTCCTTTAATTCTATAAGCATTTGGTCAATCTTACCAACAGTACATCTTTAAACATGGTCTGTTATTTACAAGTATGTCCAGAATGGTACAGTTTCTAAGGTACCTAGCTTTTTTAGACCACAAGGTATTGTCCAGAAATAAAACTCTTAATTTTGTAAATAAAAAAACAATAAAAAGAACACCTAGGATGAGAGGGGGTTCCACTGCTCTATGGAAAGAAAACTTGTGGTTTTTATTACTGTCTTTCTGCTATAAAATTAGAAATGAAGTAAAATATACATTGATAGGTATTTATTGGAAATTAAAGTTTAAAGTAATAGCTTTTCAAATTTTTATTTTTTCATTACTATACTTTGGATGGAATGATGCTCTTAATTAATTTTAGACCACTGCTCTTTTTCACTAATATAGGTGCAAGAGATGCTTTACACAATAAACCAAATGCTTCAGGTTCAGTACGTGGTCAGTATTCACAAGAAAGGTCTCAAATCCAGAAAGAAAAACCCACAAGGTAAAGGATACTTGGTTTCCAAATATGGTAATATGATTCTTGGAATAATTGAGTGTTACAAAATAAAGATATGCACAACAGTTTAAGCAGGACTAGTCTTTATTTTCTTTTACAATTTAGAGTTAACTCGTACAATGCACTTAAAATGAATCACTGAGCACATGGTCTTTTTAACAACTGCCGAAGCTAGAAAGTTATATCTTTGTAGTCTGCTGTCTCACTAAACAGGGCAGTAAGATATATATATATTGATTTTGAAAGATAAATGTGAAAGGTATATTGCTAAGTCTAAAATTTCACATATGTAGAAAATGTATGTAAACAGAAATGATTGCTTGATGAAAATTTTTAATTCATGAAAACCTAAAGCTTTTGTATAGGAACTGCTTGGTTCACTCAAAATGAAGGCAAAACTACCAATAAAACATCATTCTTGTTTGTAAATGGTAATGGTTGCTATTGCATAAGCTTATTGTTGCAATGTGACAAAACAAAAAAAGACATGATAAAGACCTACAAAAAAAAAATTGTATCGGAACACGTGTACATGTGAATTTCCCAGGATAACTTTAGAAGGAAAAACCAGCTGCTTAAAGCTTTTATCATAATCACTCAGTGGAGTTATTATTGTTTGTATCTCATAATAATTTTAGAATATGTGATGAGAAACCACTGGAACATTGTTGTAGCCATCAGCATATGTGTCAAGGACCATCATGATACATCCATCAGTAGATACAAACATCTTTGGCTTGACATGTGGTTAATGCTTTTCCACACTAATTTTATCTTTAGAAAGCTTGCTTAGCATTTTTATGCATATAAATATGTGACATCTTAAACTAGGATTGCAACATCGTTGTTCCCTTCTGTCTAATGATCCTGTGCAAGATGGTGATTATAATTTACAGAAGATATGTAAAAACCCACATGGTACAGACTTGCTCATAAAAGTGGAATGAGCTAAGTGTGCTGTGTTCTTTTCAGCAAAAGTATTATTGAAACCCAGAATTGTAGATAAAATTCTGTTGGGTAATCCAGTTTGTAGTTTAATGAAGAGAACCCCAACCATATTCACACAGACTTTACATGAATGTTCCTCAAAGATGCAATCCTGTATGCCATGTAAGTTTTGTGGCAGCAGGATTAAGTAGGGATGACAACAACACCCATAACAAATACTTGGAATTGATTCATGCTTATTGTGATACTACACTCAGCTGAATAAGTTTTGAGTGTCCGAAATATGATGTGACTGTTGCCCTTTGATCTGATGTTCAGTTTTCAATGCTTAGGGCTTTTAAAATGTTTTATAAATATGAAGAAGAGCATAATTTGGATCACTTATATCAATTTTACTGTGTATATTAGAGTCCATGGTTTGCATTCTGTTGCTGCAAAATCACTCTCCACACTATGGAGCTGTGAGTGCATTATAAGAGCAATGGTATCATCTGTTTGATTAGAGTAGGCCAAGAGTTGATAGTGGATGCTGTTGACTAGCTACCTTACCTCTAGTCTATCAGATTAAAATAATGGACATCTAACAGAGATGGTCTTTCTTTAGCTTTGCACAAGTATCCAAAACAAACAAGCAAATAATACTTATAATGATAAACAATGTACTGATGACTGAAGTTGTTTAAAGATGATGCTCATATTGAAACTGGTTGCAAGTTAGGGAAAATTGCCTTATTTTTAAACTGAACAATATTACATAAGATGTATATAGGATATGACACACAAGGAAAAAATATGGATGGGGCAATAGACAAGTCTGTTTTTTGCAAAAAATTAAAAAAGCTCTGTGGTAGTTCCATTACAGATGAAATAACTTCCATGATAATTTTGTTTAATTATCTCTTGTATTCAAAAATTCCATATTCTATTTTTCTTTCTGAAAATGTTATTCTGGGCACCTAAGCTGTATGTTATATGTTGGTTTCTCTGTGTTTATTATATTTAATGAAAGCTCATAATCCCTGGTTGTTGATCCAACTTGCATGATTAGAAAAGTACTCGCACATAAAGTGATGATTTATTGCTCAGCTGTTAAACATTGGTATTAAATGTAGCTTGTTTTAATAATGTTACGTTTTTTTTGTGTGTTTTTTTCAAGTGCTGTACGTGAACTCTTGGATTTTGTCAGCCAAAACATGGGAGGTGGAATGCCTAAGTACAGATACTCAACAGTTGGTCCTATGGTAAGTATTATGACTGTCAGTTTCTGCAATGAATTATAAGGAATATTATTACTGTATTGTTCTTGCTCAAATTTTTACATTATACTTTTAGTATCAGTTTGGCAGTTTTCCTTGTATTTATGTCTGTGGACTTACTGTGCTAGAAACTGGGTTTTGATATCCATGGTGGGCAGAGTACAGATAGCCCATTGTGTTGCTTTGTGCTTAACAAAAAAAAAGCTTGAACTTCTCCTAGCATAACACATCACACATTTTCTCTAGGCATCTCCTATTTTCTATTTTATTCACCACCTCTTCATTATGTACAAAAATTAAATGTCATTGCTCAGACAAACCCTAATTTTTATAGCCTTCAATTTTGTTTGGTTACAGAGCCATCAAATAAAAAAATCAGCCCCCTCTTGCCACACACCCCTATCACATCCTCTCTTTCAGGATTTGTTAATAAGCTTTCTCTTACGTTTAATTCTATATTATCTATAACCAATATTTTCATCTATCAATACTCGGGTAAGTACTTTATTTCTTGTTTTTATGTTTATTCTGTATTTATTATTATAAAAGTTACTAAAATGTAAAAATAGGGATCTCCTCAGGTTAGATAAGATAAATTAAATAATAAAAATGTTTCATGAGGCACATATGCAACAGCTCATGGGTAACATGATTTGATATTGTAACGTGAGCTTCACATTCCCCAAGTGACATACAGCTTATAATGGTGCGAATAGTAATTAAACACATTTCAAAGGGCAATAAAACAATACAATTTAATTATAAATAGATGTATACTGTTATGTGTTTAAAGCTACTTAGGATAAACAATTATAGTTTCATGTTACCAATTTGAAGTTATTCTAGATAGAAAAAGAGGGTAATTCAGATATATTTCACTTTCAATTTTTTGGGGGGTGGTTATGAGGTCAGTCAAACTGGCCAACCTTGTATATAGTTAGGGTAGAATTAGGGACAAACTATAAAGTTTTACTGAAAAAACGTTTGAAATGCATTCAGGAGGTTTTAGGGGTTACACAAAGGAAATTTGAGATTTTTGAGATGAGGAAAAGTATTTTTAATTTTAACATGAAAATTACTTTGCACATGGACTATTCAAAACAAATAGTGTTAGAATGCTTGATATATTCATGAACAAATATTTTTTTTAGTTTATTAAAAAGCTCTAAGTTCATATAGTGTACATCTATTTATAATTCAATTTTATTGTTTTATGTGCAGCTCATGTTGCGCTATCAAATTACATTGCCCAAGAGCTGCTTGTGTGCATGCCTTGTGAACTA